TGGGTCTCTGTGTGGTGAGTCTGTGGGTCTCTGTGTGGTGAGTCTGTGGGTCTCTATGTGGTGAGTCTGTGGGTCTCTGTGTGGTGAGTCTGTGGGTCTCTGTCTGGTGAGTCTGTGGGTCTCTGTGTGGTGAGTCTGTGAGTATCTGTTTGGTGAGTCTGTGGGTCTCTGTGTGGTGAGTCTGTGGGTATCTGTCTGGTGAGTCTGTGGGTCTCTGTGTGGTGAGTCTGTGGGTATCTGTCTGGTGAGTCTATGGGTTTCTGTGTGGTGAGTCTATGGGTCTCTGTGTGGTGAGTCTGTGGGTATTAATTTGGCAATCGTCATCAGGAGGCGAAACGAGGGGGAAGAAAGTTGCTGAGCAGGCAGCAGGCTGTTTTAAAGTTTTAAAGTTGGGTGTAGCCCAAGGGTCATAAACAAAGTGGGCACAACTTTACCGAAAGACCCAAAGAAAATGAATTCCTGCAGTCATGAAAGCTTTAGGTCGAGTCTAAGTGTGTCTCTATATATACACTACACTATACACTACACTATACACTACACTACTATACACTACACTATACACTACACTATACACTACACTACACACTACTATACACTACACTACTATACACTACACTATACACACTACACTAGTATACACTACACTATACACTACACTATACACTACACTATACACTACACACTACACTATACACTACACTACACACTATACACTACTATACACTACACTATACACTACACTAGTATACACTACACTATACACTACACTATACACTACACTACACACTAAACTATACACTACACTACACACTACACTATACACTACACTACACACTACACTACACACTACACTATACACTACACTATACACCCCTCTGTGTCCTGGCGGTGTGCCACTCACGTAGCCACGGTCGCCCTCCGCGTTTCTCTGTGGTGCCTTGGGGAGAGTGGGGGGATCCTCCCTGCACGCATGTGGGTAGTGGGGGGGTAGTGGGGGGGTAGTGAGGGGGTAGTGGGGGGGGTGGTGGGGGGGGGGCACAACGGCAGGTCGTCACAAAGATGACCCCGCGGGCACCGCCGACGTCCGCCCCACGTCCGAGAGAAGCGAGCGACTCACGTGGGGCCCCAGGGCTCCTGCCAATGCTGCTGCTGCCGGCGGCGTCGGCGGCGGTAGAGCAGCAGCAGCAGCAGCAGCGTGGCCACCAGGGCGAGGGACACGGCGAGGATCGCGGCCGGAGCGGCCCAGCTGGCCCGGCCCGCCGCCGCCGCCTTCTCTGCGTGGCACAACAACAATCCCCCGCGTGGCGTCAGCGTGCCGCCGTAGCACGACGACGACAACCGCCGCGATGACCACACGCGCCAGGCTAGGTGCGCTTTGAGGCTCGTGGCGCTCGCACCCGGGCGTTGCGGGTCGAGGGAGCGAGACGAAGGGACGGACGGAGACAAAGTCTCCCCCGTAAAGGCCCCGGCGGACTGTCGGGGCGGGTGCCGTTAGCGAGTATCAGCAGCTGTGAAGGCCGTGATTGTGACAAACGAGGGGATGGGTGGCCAGAACAGGGACACACACACGGACACACACACGGACACGCACACACACACACACACACGGACACGCACGCACACACACACACACACGCACGCGGACACGCACGCACACACACGCACAAGCACGCATACGGACAGACAACCATGCACACGCACACGGACAGACACGCACCAACACACGTGCATGCACGCACAAACGTACACGGACACACACACATGCAACATTCAGAGATGCGAACAAACCTGTTCGTGTGTCCAGTTGCCTGTTCAGACTGAAAGTCGTGAGTTCAACCGGCGTGCAACAGACGGCGGTGGTGGCGTCTACATCGGTAGAACGTGAAGATCCAGTGTCATTTACATCTGTAGAACGTGAAGATCCAGTGTAATTTACATCTGTAGAACGTGAAGAACCAGTGGCAGAACGTGAAGAACCAGTGGCCTCTACATCTGTAGAACGTGAAGAACCAGTGGCATCTACATCTCCAGAAGGTGAAGAACCAGTGGCATCTACATCTCCAGAAGGTGAAGAACCAGTGGCATCTACATCTGCAAAACGAGAAGAACCAGTGACATTAATATCAACAGAATACGAAAAACCAGTGACATGTACATCTGCAGAATGTAAAGAACCAGTGCCATCTACATCTACAGAATGTGAAGAACCAGTGGCATCTACATCTGCAGAACGTGAAGAACCAGTGGGATCTACATCTGTAGAACGTGAAGAACCAGTGGCATCTACATCTGTAGAAGGTGAAGAACCAGTGGCATCTACATCTGTAGAACGTGAAGAACCAGTGGCATCTACATCTGCAGAACGCGAAGAACCAGTGGCCTCTACATCTGCAGAACGTGAAGATCCAGTGTCATTTACATCTGCAGAACATGAAGAACCAGTGGCATCTACATTTGCAGAGCGTGAAGAACCAGTGGCATCTACATCTGCAGACAGTGAAGAACCAGTGGCATCTACATCTGCAGAGCGTGAAGAACCAGCGGCATCTAATCTGCAGAACGTGAAGAATCAGTGGCATCTACATCTGCTGAACGTGAAGAACCAGTGGCATCTACATCTGCAGAGCGTGAAGAACCAGCGGCATCTACATCTGTAGAACGTGAAGAACCAGTGGCATCTACATCTGCAGAACGTGAAGAACCAGTGGCATCTACATCTGCAGAACGTGAAGAATTAGTGGCATCTACATCTGCAGAGCGTGAAGAACCAGTGGCATCTACATCTGCAGAGCGTGAAGAATTAGTGTAATCTACATCTGTAAAAGGTGAAGAACAAGTGGCATCTACATCTGCAGAACGTGAAGAACCAGTGGCATCTACATCTGCAGAACGTGAAGAACCAGTGGCATCTACATCTGCAGAACGTGAAGAACCAGTAGCATCTACATCAGCTTTGGGTCTCTGTGTGAGTCTATGGGTCTCTGTCTGAGAAGTCTATGGGTGTCTGTGTGAGTAGTCTATGGGTGTCTGTGTGATGAGTCTATGGGTCTCTGTGTGAGTAGTCTATGGGTCTCTGTGTGAGTCTATGGGTCTCTGTGTGAGTAGTCTATGGGTGTCTGTGTGATGACTCTATGGGTCTCTGTGTGAGTCTATGGGTGTCTGTGAGTAGTCTATGGGTGTCTGTGTGAGTAGGCTATGGGTGTCTGTATGATGAGTCTATGGGTCTCTGTGTGAGTCTATGGGTCTCTGTGTGAGTAGTCTATGGGTCTCTGTGTGAGTAGTCTATGGGTCTCTGTGTGAGTCTATGGGTGTCTGTGTGAGTCTATGGGTCTCTGTGTGAGTGGTCTATGGGTCTCTGTGTGAGTCTATGGGTGTCTGTGTGAGTCTATGGGTCTCTGAGTGAGTAGTCTATGGGTCTCTGTGTGAGTAGTCTATGGGTGTCTGTGTGATGAGTCTATGGGTCTCTGTGTGAGTAGTCTATGGGTCTCTGTGTGAGTAGTCTATGGGTGTCTGTGTGGTGAGTCTATGGGTGTCTGTGTGAGTAGTCTATGGGTCTCTATGTGAGTAGTCTATGGGTCTCGGTGTGATGAGTCTATGGGTCTCTGTGTGAGTCTATGGGTCTCTGTGTGAGTAGTCTATGGGTGTCTGTGTGATGAGTCTATGGGTCTCTGTGTGAGTCTATGGGTCTCTCTGTGAGTAGTCTATGGGTGTCTGTGTGATGAGTCTATGGGTCTCTGTCTGAGTCTATGGGTCTCTGTGTGAGTAGTCTATGGGTCTCTGTGTGAGTAGTCTATGGGTCTCTGTGTGAGTCTGTGGGTCTCTGTGTGAGTAGTCTATGGGTCTCTATGTGAGTAGTCTATGGGTCTCTTTGTGAGTCTGTGGGTCTCTGTGTGAGTAGTCTATGGGTCTCTGTGTGAGTAGTCTATGGGTCTTCTTTGGTTCTTTCGGTAAAGTCACATAGAATGAGAATAAAATAATAAATTTATAAAATAAAAAAACGCAATAAAATTCTCACGACGTTTCGGCCACAACATCAGGTGAAGGGACGGGACTGTCTGGAGGACAGCGCTGGAGCGAACAAAGCCACGCTCAGATCGCGACCTTTAAGCTGTGTGAGAAGAAACAAAGCGCCTTGACAAAGGAATTAGCATAGAATTTAGCATTGAAATGGCTGAGTGATTAGCTTGTGACTGGTCACAGAAATGGCTATGTTAAAGTCAAAGCATACACATCCACAGAGGCACCCCTTGACAAAGGAATTAGCATAGACTTTAGCATTGAAATAGCTGAGTGATTAGCTTGTGACTGGTCACAGAAATGGCTATGTTAAAGTCAAAGCATACACATTCACAGAGGCACCTAGTACAAATCAAACAGGAGAATTTAGCATTGAAATAACTAGGAGAATTTAGCATTGAAATAACTGAGTGATTAGCTTGTGACTGGTCACAAAAATGCCTATGTTAAAGTCAAAGCCTACACATCTGAGCAATTCACAGTAACTGGGTATACACTACACTATATAATGAATACTACATAGTAAACCAATAAAAAACTAAAATATAAATTACCCCAATGTTATCAATAAACTCTATATTCTCCAATCAGCTAAGCTACCAACAATAAGTCGTTATATATCACAATGCTATATGGCGAAAAAATGGGTGGATTCTTACCCTCAACTTTAGCACCACTGATAGCTACGAGCCCCGTTCAGACGGACGAGTTCATCCATGGTCGGAACAGAGGAGGGGGAGAGAGACAGCTGCGCGGCGCTGTTATACTCCATGTTGTAAACCATACCATTAACCGTGGTGTGATAGGTATTAAGAGTCAATGCCAGCGAAAGAGCTGCGGTCTGAAGGTCATCGTAAAATACAATTAATTAAGAACGTAAATGGTTTAAAAAATCTTTCCAATGGTTACTAAGCCAGAATCCATCTTCTCGGTTGAAATTGTCTCTGTGCTTGTATATGTGAATGGCCTCATGAACGAATCTCTCATGGTTGCCGGTTGGTTTGGAAAGAACCTCCGTCTTGGAGAAGTCAATGTCATGTGAGCCCACTGAATTATAACAGTGACCTGCCACGGCAGAGGAGTTCGTTCTACCGTGTTTCAAGTCTGCTTTATGTTCGCAGATGCGGTCCGAGATATGTCCTTTGGTTTCTCCAATGTAGCTACTACCACAGAGGCACTTTAGTTTGTAAACGCCCGGGTACTGTATGTCTGGAACAGCATCTTTTACAGATGGAACCAGATCACGGATTTTATGTACTGTGTTGAATCGGACCTGGATCTTGTGTTTATTCAGGATTTTGGAGATCTTTTGAGTGACCCCTGCAATGTAGGGTAAGGTGATGGTTTTGAGTGGCTCCACAAGAGGATCCTTCTTCATGACTGGAGTGATGGCTTTGCGGATTGTGTAGTCGGAGTAACCATTAGCCCTGAGAGCCTGGTGTACGTGCTTGAGTTCTGGTAATGTGTTCATTGGGCTCTATGGTATAGAGTCTTGATGAGGGAGTTCTTCTGGGATGGATGGTGGTGGGAATCCGGTTTCAAGTAAGCATCTGTATGGGTAGCTTTCCTGTAGACAGAGTGGCTCATTGAACCATCATGTGTCCTTTTAATTAAGACATCCAAAAAGGGTAGTTTGCCATATTTTTCGACCTCCATGGTAAATCTGTTGGCTGGGTGTATGGAATTGATGTGGTCGCAGAATTGGTCTAGAGCAGGCTGGCCATGTGGCCAGATGACAAAGGTGTCATCCACGTACCTCTTCCATAAGGTCGGGCGTAGAGTGGCAGTCTGGATGGCGTCAGTTTCAAATTTTTCCATGAATATGTTGGCTACAACCGGAGATAGGGGGGAGCCCATTAGGGTGCCCTCAGTTTGTTTGTAGAAAGTTCCATTCCAGGTGAAGTTTGTGTTGGTTAAGCAATGTCTCACCAGGCGGGGGTACATCAGTATGCAGTCCTTGATGAACCAGGTCTTCAATGATAGCGATGGTGTCAGGTACCGGGACTTTGGTGAACAAGGACACCACATCAAAACTGACAAGCAGGTCGTCTGGGGACAGGGAAATGCCTTTGATTGTCAATACAAGGTGAGTCGAATTTAGTACCGCAGAGGTGGTTTTTCCAGTGAAAGGTCGCAGTATATCAGCAAGAAAACGTGCCAGTTTATAGGTGGGGGAGTTGATAGTAGAGACTATGGGACGAAAGGGTGTATCTTCTTTGTGTACCTTTGGAAGGCCATATAATCTTGGTGGTCTGGCAGCAGAGGGTTTCAACGAGAACTGTTTGGTCTGATCAATTAATGCTGTTGAATCAGAGATGATTTTGTTCGTTTTGGTAACCAGGCTGTTGGTGGGATCTCTTTTTATTTTTGTATAGCTGCCATCGTTGAGCAGTTCTTGAATTTTGTTGTTATATTCTGTTTTGTCCATGATGACAGTGGCTACCATGAGAGATTCGTTCATGAGGCCATTCACATATACAAGCACAGAGACAATTTCAACCGAGAAGATGGATTCTGGCTTAGTAACCATTGGAAAGATGTTTTAAACCATTTCGTTCTTAATTAATTGTATTTTACGATGACCTTCAGACCGCAGCTCTTTCGCTGGCATTGACTCTTAATACCTCTCACACCACGGTTAATGGTGTGGTTTACAACATGGAGTATAACAGCGCCTCGCAGCTGTCTCTCTCCCCCTCCTCCGTTCTGACCATGGATGAACTCGTCCGTCTGAACGGGGCTCTTAGCTATCCGTGATGCTAAAGTTGAGGGTAAGAATCCACCCATTTTTTCGCCAGATAGCATTGTGATATATAACGACTTATTGTGGTAGCTTAGCTGATTGGAGAATATATAGAGTTCATTGATAACATTGAGGTAATTTATATTTTAGTTTTTTATTGGTTTACTATATAGTATTCATTATATAGTGTAGTGTATACCCAGTTACTGTGCCATTTCTGTGACCAGTCACAAGCTAATCACTCAGTTATTTCAATGCTAAATTCTCCTAATTATTTCAATGCTAAATTCTCCTGTTTGATTTGTACTAGGTGCCTCTGTGAATGTGTATGCTATGACTTTAACATAGCCATTTCTGTGACCAGTCACAAGCTAATCACTCAGCTATTTCAATGCTAAAGTCTATGCTAATTCCTTTGTCAAGGGGTGTCTCTGTAGATGTGTATGCATTGACTTTAACATAGCCATTTCTGTGACCAGTCACAAGCTAATCACTCAGCTATTTCAATGCTAAATTCTATGCTAATTCCTTTGTCAAGGCGCTTTGTTTCTTCTCACACAGCTTAAAGGTCGCGATCTGAGCGTGGCTTTGTTCGCTCCAGCGCTGTCCTCCAGACAGTCTCGTCCCTTCACCTGATGAAGGCCGCTTGTGTTTTGGCCAGAACGTCATGAGAATTTTATTGTGTTATTTTATTTTATCAATATATTATTTATTCTCATTCTACGTGTCTTTACCGAAAGAACCAAAGAAGATGAATCCTTGCAGTCACGAAAGCTTTAAATCGAAATTTAGTCTATGGGTGTCTGTGTGAGTAGTCTATGGGTCTCTGTGTGAGTAGTCTATGGGTGTCTGTGTGAGTAGTCTATGGGTCTCTGTGTGAGTAGTCTATGGGTGTCTGTGTGAGTAGTCTATGGGTGTCTGTGTGAGTAGTCTATGGGTCTCTGTGTGAGTAGTCTATGGGTGTCTGTGTGATGAGTCTATGGGTCTCTGTGTGAGTAGTCTATGGGTGTCTGTGTGAGTAGTCTATGGGTCTCAGTGTCAGTAGTCTATGGGTCTCTGTGTGAGTAGTCTATGGGTGTCTGTGTGAGTAGTCTATGGGTCTCTGTGTGAGTAGTCTATGGGTCTCTGTGTGAGTAGTCTATGGGTCTCTGTGTGATGAGTCTATGGGTCTCTGTGTGAGTAGTCTATGGGTCTCTGTGTGAGTCTATGGGTCTCTCTGTGAGTAGTCTATGGGTCTCTGTGTGAGTAGTCTATGGGTGTCTGTGTGAGTCTATGGGTCTCTGCGTTGAGTAGTCTATGGGTCTCTGAGTGAGTAGTTTATGGGTCTCTGTGTGAGTAGTCTATGGGTCTCTGTGTGAGTCTATGGGTCTCTGTGTGAGTAGTCTATGGGTCTCTGTGTGAGTAGTCTATGGGTGTCTGTGTGAGTCATCTATGGGTCTCTGTGTGAGTAGTCTATGGGTCTCTGCGTGATGAGTCTATGGGTCTCTGTGTGAGTAGTCTATGGGTGTCTGTGTGATGAGTCTATGGGTCTCTGCGTGGGGCAGTGCCAATCCTCACCGATGACAGAGAGGTTGACCCTCCCCTCGAAGTTGCCGTGGGGGAAGGTGGCCACGTGGCAGAGGAAGAGGCCCCCGTCGCCAGCCCGCACGTCCAGCAGCTCCAGCGAGACGTCGCCGGGAGGCCCCCCAACGCGGAACCGCAGTCGGCCCGCGAGGGACGAGTTGGAGTACGCCGTGCCGTGCAGCGGGCTGAGCGTGGCCAAATTGGCCCCCGCCCAGACGTCGTCACGGGAGGCGTTCAGCCAGTTGGCCTGCACCACCACCACGGCCGCACCCCACAGGACGCAGCGCAGCAGCGCCACCTTCTGGCCGACGACTGCCGTGACCTGGCCGTCCGTGTCGACACCCACACGAGGGGCTGGGTGGGAAGACCACACAGAGACTCATAGACTACTCATAGAGACCCATAAACTACTCACACAGACACTCATAGACTACTCACAGAGACCCATAGACTACTCACACAGAGACCCATAGACTACTCACACAGAAACCCATAGACTACTCGCACAGAGACCCATAGACTACTCGCATAGAGACCCATAGACTACTCACACAGAGACCCATAGACTTCTCACGCAGAGACCCAAAGACTACTCATAGAGACCCATAGACCACTCACACAGAGACCCATAGACTACTCACACAGAGACCCATAGACTACTCACGCAGAGACCCATAGACTACTCACGCAGAGACCCATAGACTACTCATAGAGACCCATAGACTACTCACACAGAGACCCATAGACTACTCATAGAGACCCATAGACTACTCACACAGAGACCCATAGACCACTCATAGAGACCCAAGGCTACTCACACAGAGACCCACTTCACACGCACAAAAATACCTCTCACTCATTCACCCAGCCACCCACTCACCCACGGTGCTGTGTGGTGGAGGGACGGAGACACACGACAGTGGAGACCACTCCCCTGCCTTCCACCGTGGGAAGTCGGCTACCATTCTCACGCGGACGCAGTACTCATCCTCGCGTCCCGGCAGAAGCATAATTTGGTGTTGGTACCGGCATCCGATGAAGCGTTCCTGGCAGTAAGCATCATCATCATCAGTAGTAGCAGCAGTAGTAGTAGTAGCAGCAACAGCATCAGTAGTAGTAGCATCATCAGTAGTAGTGTCATTGGTAGTATCATCATCAGTATCATCATCATCATCAGTAGTAGTAGCAGTAGTAGTAGCAGCAACAGCATCATCATCAGTAGTAGCAGCATCATCAGTAGTAGTGTCATTGGTAGTAGCATCATCAGTATCATCATCATCAGTAGTAATAGCAGCAGTAGTAGTAGCAGCAACAGCAGCAGTAGTAGTAGCATCATCAGTAGTAGTGTCATTGGTAGTATCATCATCATCAGTAGCAGCATCACCACCCACCCATTCAACCACACACATCTCCCGCCACAACCTCCCGACCCCCGTCACAACTCCGGCAACCTCTCACCGTGCGTCGAACGCCGCCTCTTGTCGAGATGTCAACCTGATGGTGGAACTCCACGTCGTGCGACACCAGCGTCCTCAACCCACGCCCGACGGAGACCAACAACGACAGCTTCCACACCTCCGGCTCTCCGTCAACCACCGCCTCCAACTCCCCAGCCTCCCCAGGACCATCGTCGTCGAGGTTGTCGCCATCGACGTCGTAGTCACGGCGGTCATCGTCACCGCCGTCACGGCCATCGTCATCGTCGTCGAAGTCGTCGCCATCGACCTCAACGTTATAGTCACGGCGGTCGTCATCACCGCCGTCACGGACATCGTCATCATCGTTGTCGTTGTAGCCATCATCGTCGTTGTCTTCATCGTCACCCACAATACCGCACTCCTCATCCTTCTCCTCCTCACCATGACCATCGCCCTCCTCCTCCTTCCCCAGCGTCAGTTTGTTGAGCCTCAGGGTGAACGACGGAGCGCTGAGCACAGCTGAGACACGGGAGAGGGGGGGTCATGGCGAGGGATGTTTGTGTGATCTCCCCCTGTCCTACAGAGTGTGCGGAGTTTGTGTGATCTCCCCCTGTCCTACAGAGTGAGTGAGTGGAGATTGTGTGATCTCCCCCTGTTCTACAGAGTGAGTGGAGTTTGTGTGATCTCCCCGTGTTCTACAGAGTGAGTGGAGTTTGTGTGATCTCCCCCTGTCCTACAGAGTGAGTGGAGTTTGTGTGATCTCCCCCTGTTCTACAGTGAGTGAGTGGAGTTTGTATGATCTGCCTCTGTTCTACAGAGTGTGTGAGTGGAGTTTGTATGATCTCCCCCTGTCCTACAGAGTGAGTGAGTGGAGTTTGTATGATCTGCCCCTGTCCTACAGAGTGAGTGGAGTTTGTGTGATCTCCCCCTGTTCTACAGAGTGAGTGTGTGGAGTTTGTGTGATCTCCCTCTGTTTTACAGAGTGGAGTTTGTATGATCTCCCCCTGTCCTACAGAGTGAGTGGAGTTTGTGTGATCTCCCCCTGTTCTACAGAGTGAGTGAGTGGAGTTTGTGTGATCTCCCCGTGTTCTACAGAGTGTGTGGAGTTTGTGTGATCTCCCCCTGTCCTACAGAGTGAGTGTGAGACGAGTTTGTGTGATCTCCCCCTGTCCTACACAGAGTGTGTGGAGTTTGTGTGATCTCCCGCTGTTCTACAGAGTGTGTGGAGTTTGTGTGATCTCCCCCTGTCCTACAGAGTGAGTGGAGTTTGTGTGATCTCCCCCTGTCCTACAGAGTGTGTGAGTGGAGTTTGTGTGATCTCCCCCTGTTTACAGAGTGAGTGGAGTTTGTGTGATCTCCCCCTGTCCTACAGAGTGTGTGGAGTTTGTGTGATCTCCCCCTGTCCTACAGAGTGAGTGGGGTTTGTGTGATCTCCCCCTGTCCTACAGAGTGAGTGGAGTTTGTGTGATCTCCCCCTGTCCTACAGAGTGTGTGGAGTTTGTGTGATCTCCCGCTGTTCTACAGAGTGTGTGGAGTTTGTGTGATCTCCCCCTGTCCTACAGAGTGAGTGGAGTTTGTGTGATCTCCCCCTGTCCTACAGAGTGTGTGAGTGGAGTTTGTGTGATCTCCCCCTGTTTACAGAGTGAGTGGAGTTTGTGTGATCTCCCCCTGTCCTACAGAGTGTGTGGAGTTTGTGTGATCTCTCCCTGTCCTACAGAGTGAGTGGGGTTTGTGTGATCTCCCCCTGTCCTACAGAGTGTGTGAGTGGAGTTTGTGTGATCTCCCCTTGTCCTACAGTGAGTGAGTGTAGTTTGTGTGATCTCCCCCGGTCCTACAGAGTGAGTGTGTGGAGTTTGTGTGATCTCCCCCTGTTCTACAGTGAGTGAGTGGAGTTTGTATGATCTCCCCCTGTCCTACAGAGTGAGTGAGTGGAGTTTGTGTGATCTCCCCCTGTCCTACAGAGTGAGTGGTGTTTGTGTGATCTCTCCCTGTCCTACAGAGTGAGTGGAGTTTGCGTGATCTCCCCCTGTCCTACAGAGTGAGTGGAGTTTGTGTGATCTCCCCCTGTCCTACAGAGTGAGTGGAGTTTGTGTGATCTCCCCCTGTTCTACAGTGAGTGAGTGGAGTTTGTATGATCTCCCCCTGTCCTACAGAGTGATTAGAGTTTGTGTGATCTCCCCCTGTTCTACAGAGGAGTGTGTGGAGTTTGTGTGATCTCCCCCTGTTTTACAGAGTGAGTGGAGTTTGTATGATCTCCCCCTGTCCTACAGAGTGAATGAGTGGAGTTTGTGTGATCTCCCCCTGTCCTACAGAGTGAATGAGTGGAGCTTGTGTGATCTCCCCCTGTCCTACAGGGTGAGTGGAGTTTGTGTGATCTCCCCCTGTCCTACAGAGTGTGTGAGTGGAGTTTGTGTGATCTCCCCCTGTCCTACAGAGTGAGTGGAGTTTGTGTGATCTCCCCCTGTCCTACAGAGTGAGTGAGTGGAGTTTGTGTGATCTCCCCCTGTCCTACAGAGTGAGTGGAGTTTGTGTGATCTCCCCCTGTCCTACAGGGTGAGTGGAGTTTGTGTGATCTCCCCCTGTCCTACAGAGTGTGTGAGTGGAGTTTGTGTGATCTCCCCCTGTCCTACAGAGTGAGTGGAGTTTGTGTGATATCCCCCTGTCCTACAGAGTGAGTGAGTGGAGTTTGTGTGATCTCCCCCTGTCCTACAGAGTGAGTGGAGTTTGTGTGATCTCCCCCTGTCCTACAGAGTGAGTGGAGTTTGTGTGATCTGCCCCTGTTCTACAGAGTGAGTGGAGTTTGTGTGATCTCCCCCTGTTCTACAGAGTGAGTGGAGTTTGTGTGATCTCCCCCTGTTCCACAGAGTGAGTGTGAGTGGAGTTTGTGTGATCTCCCCCTGTCCTACAGAGTGTGTGAGCGTAGTTTGTATGATCTCCCCCTGTCCTACAGTGTGAGTGAGTGGAGTTTGTGTGATCTCCCCCTGTTCTACAGAGTGTGAGTGGAGTTTGTGTGATCTCCCCCTGTCCTACAGAGTGAGTGGAGTTTGTGTGATCTCCCCCTGTCCTACAGAGTGAGTGAGTGGAGTTTGTGTGATCTCCCCCTGTCCTACAGAGTGAGTGGAGTTTGTGTGATCTCCCCCTGTCCTACAGAGTGAGTGGAGTTTGTGTGATCTCCCCCTGTTCTACAGAGTGAGTGGAGTTTGTGTGATCTCCCCCTGTCCTACAGAGTGAGTGGAGTTTGTAGTGATCTCCCCCTGTTCCTACAGAGTGAGTGAGTGGAGTTTGTGTGATCTCCCCCTTTCCTACAGAGTGAGTGGAGTTTGTGTGATCTCCCCCTGTTCTACAGAGTGAGTGGAGTTTGTGTGATCTCCCCCTGTTCCAAAGAGTGAGTGGAGTTTGTGTGATCTCCCCCTGTTCTACAGAGAGTGAGTGGAGTTTGTATGATCTCCCCCTGTTCCTACAGAGTGTGTGAGTGGAGTTTGTGTGATCTCCCCCTGTCCTACAGAGTGTAGTGAGTGGAGTTTGTATGATCTCCCCCTGTCCTACAGAGTGTGAGTGGAGTTTGTGTGATCTCCCCCTGTTCTACAGAGTGAGTGGAGTTTGTGTGATCTCCCCCTGTTCTACAGAGTGAGTGGAGTTTGTATGATCTCCCCCTGTCCTACAGAGTGAGTGAGTGGAGTTTGTGTGATCTCCCCCTGTTCTACAGAGTGAGTGGAGTTTGTGTGATCTCCCCTGTTCTACAGAGTGAGTGGAGTTTGTGTGATCTCCCCCTGTCCTACAGAGTGAGTGAGTGGAGTTTGTGTGATCTCCCCCTGTTCTACAGAGTGAGTGAGTGGAGTTTGTATGATCTCCCCCTGTTCTACAGAGTGAGTGAGTGGAGTTTGTGTGATCTCCCCCTGTCCTACAGAGTGAGTGGAGTTTGTGTGATCTCCCCCTGTCCTACAGAGTGAGTGAGTGGAGTTTGTGTGATCTCCCCCTGTCCTACAGAGTGAGTGAGTGGAGTTTGTGTGATCTCCCCCTGTCCTACAGAGTGAGTGATGGAGTTTGTGTGATCTCCCCCTGTTCTACAGAGTGAGTGGAGTTTGTGTGATCTCCCCCTGTCCTACAGGAGTGAGTGGAGTTTGTGTGATCTCCCCCTGTCCTACAGAGTGAGTGAGTGGAGTTTGTGTGATCTCCCCCTGTCCTACAGAGTGAGTGGAGTTTGTGTGATCTCCCCCTGTTCTACAGAGTGAGTGGAGTTTGTGTGATCTCCCCCTGTCCTACAGAGTCAGTGAGTGGAGTTTGTGTGATCTCCCCCTGTCCTACAGAGTGAGTGGAGTTTGTGTGATCTCCCCCTGTTCTACAGTGAGTGAGTGGAGTTTGTATGATCTCCCCCTGTCCTACAGAGTGAGTAGAGTTTGTGTGATCTCCCCCTGTCCTACACAGCAAGTGAGTGGAGTTTGTGTGATCTCCCCCTGTCCTACAGAGTGAGTGAGTGGAGTTTGTGTGATCTCCCCCTGTCCTACAGAGTGAGTGAGTGGAGTTTGTGTGATCTCTCCCTGTCCTACAGAGTGAGTGGAGTTTGTGTGATCTCCCCCTGTCCTACAGAGTGAGTGAGTGGAGTTTGTGTGATCTCCCCCTGTTCTACAGAGTGAGTGTGTGGAGTTTGTGTGATCTCCCCCTGTCCTACAGAGTGAGTGGAGTTTGTGTGATCTCCCCCTGTCCTACACAGCAAGTGAGTTGAGTTTGTGTGATCTCCCCCTGTCCTACAGAGTGAGTGAGTGGAGTTTGTGTGATCTCCCCCTGTCCTACAGAGTGAGTGAGTGAGTTGAGTTTGTATGATCTCCCCGTCCTACAGAGTGAGTGAATGGAGTTTGTGATCTCCCCCTGTTCTACAGAGTGAGTGGAGTTTGTGTGATCTCCCCCTGTCCTACACAGCGAGTGAGTGGAGTTTGTGTGATCTCCCCCTGTCCTACAGAGTGAGTGAGTGGAGTTTGTGTGATCTCCCCCTGTCCTACAGAGTGAGTGGAGTTTGTGTGATCTCCCCCTGTTCTACAGAGTGAGTGGAGTTTGTGTGATCTCCCCCTGTCCTACAGAGTCAGTGAGTGGAGTTTGTGTGATCTCCCCCTGTCCTACAGAGTGAGTGGAGTTTGTGTGATCTCCCCCTGTTCTACAGTGAGTGAGTGGAGTTTGTATGATCTCCCCCTGTCCTACAGAGTGAGTAGAGTTTGTGTGATCTCCCCCTGTTCTACAGAGTGAATGAGTGGAGTTTGTGTGATCTCCCCCTGTACTACAGAGTGAGTGAGTGGAGTTTGTGTGATCTCCCCCTGTCCTACACAGCAAGTGAGTTGAGTTTGTGTGATCTCCCCCTGTCCTACAGAGTGAGTGAGTGGAGTTTGTGTGATCTCCCCCTGTACTACAGAGTGAGTGAGTGGAGTTTGTGTGATCTCTCCCTGTCCTACAGAGTGAGTGGAGTTTGTGTTATCTCCCCCTGTCCTACAGAGTGAGTGGAGTTTGTGTGATCTCCCCCTGTCCTACAG